CTGGATCTACACTCTTTGTTACATTTAAATCATACGTCATGAATGACAAATCTGGGCGTGATTGAGCAGCTACCCAGTTCAACTGACCACATATTGTTCTAAGCTTCCTGTCAGTCGACAGATGATATATCTCATGTTCTTTATCATTGATGACATCTGCTAGATCTCGGATATATTCATGTTGGTTCACTAGGATACCATCTTCTGTCTGCTCAACTGATAGACCAATGTAATTGAACTTTGATTTGCATATTTTACCAGCTTCAAAGTTTGATGTCAGTTCTTTTACAACTCTATCAAAGAATGAATTTGTACCAGCTACTAAGAAATCATCAACGTGAAGCACAAGTATTCCTTCGAATCCAGTACTAGTTCTCCATATGAACAAAGCAGGATCTAACACTGATTGAGTACAACCAAGGTTGATAAGAAGTCCCTTCACACTGATAAACCAAGCTCTTGCAGCATCATTTAAACCATACACTGTCTTTCTCAATCTCCACAAATAACCTTTTTCTACATGAGCTTCCTTGGGTGGTATGACATAAACATTTCTTTCAATTTTATTTCCTTGCAGAAAGGCAGCTTTGATATCAATCGTTGTTAGTTGCCACTGCTGGTTTGCAGCTATAGCAAGTACAACCTTGAGAGTGTTTTTGAATACTGTAGGTGACTCCACTTCAATCGACTGATTTTGCTCTTGAAATCCACGGACTACTAACCGGGCTTTAACTCCAAGTTCAGTGCTGGGTTTTTCTGTTATTACCCAAGTTGTTGTAATGACATTCTGATCACAATCCTTGACTTCATCATATACTTCTCTCTGCTTCCAGTTAGTCAATTCAATAACTTTAGCCTTAATAACCACATCTTCACTGTGTCTGGAAGTGGGAATTGTCACAACATTACATTCTTCATGATCGTCTCCAGGTTCTTCATCAATAGCAGCATCAGCTTTGTACATAGCCGTCTTTGTACAATCTATCAGCTTTTCTTCATCTTGGGTTGTCATAAGTTTCACCCAGTGATCTTTTCTGCCAAGCCGTTTTCCTTTTTGAGTCACGGTACATGTCTCCCATTCATTTTCCTTTCCTTCTTTAACAAGTTTCACTGTATCTCCGACCGAAACATCGTTTTTCTGAAGTCTAGTTTCCAAATACTTAATCTTGAGTTGTTGTTTTTGTTCATTGGAAATTATCTTAGAGTCTATTTCAAGTATTGGTGAGGAGCTCATAATTTCTTGTCCTGTTGGTATGTCCTCTGTTTCCACTGGCACTTGAAATTGAACAGGCATTTCTTCTATGTTTTCAGCAGCTTCATCAAACTGATCATCGTTAATATTGACTGCTTCATCATGTTGGCTATTCTCTGTTTCCAATATATCATCATTGTTTTGGTTGTGCTCGTCACTCACTATATATTCTCGTTTCACAATTCTACAGCTTGCTGCTTTGATAAGCAGTCCTCCATGCCTCAGTATAAGAGTCTTTCCTTCCTTGCCGACTATCTTGGCAGGTCCTTTCCAGCGTTCAATATTAGGTCTTTTGTAGAATACAACATCACCAATCATAAAGTCTTGGTTGATATCTCGTAAGGGTCTTTTCAAAGCTCTTTTAACTCTTTCTGAATTCTCTGCCTCTAGATATGCTTTTCTGCTTAGATACATTGCATTAAGATTCCTTTGAATGTCGCTTGATAATGATTCATCTGCTCCTTCATTAGCAGGTAACAAGTTGTAAGATACCCCAGGAAAGTTTGGATTCTGACCTGTCACTATCTGCACTGGAGAAAATCCACTGACATTGTACAGTGTGTTCTTGGCATTGATTGACCATGCAAGTGCTATCTTCAATGGAAACCCGTCATACATCATTTTAAGCACTGATTTGTCAACCACAGCATGGTTTCTTTCACATAAGCCATTTGACCAAGGTGAGTAGGCACTGGTAACACAAATTTCAAAGTTGAGTTGTTCACTGAGATCATTAAGTTCATTGTTTGCGAATTATCCTCCATTGTCCACTAATATTTTTCCTGGAGGCCCCATACCTGCTGCAATCCATTCCATAGTAAAGGCTTTTATTACTGTCTCTGGCTTTTTGTTGGAAATCACCCTAGCTTTGCAGAATCTAGAGAACATATCAACAATGTAAATCACATAACCATTGATTCCAGTAAATTGTTTCAAATCAAGAGCTACTACCTCATTGAACTTCGTTGCCATAGGTAATCCAACGACTGGTGTGGAGGGTGTTCTTTTATATCTCGCACAGGCATCACATTCTTTTAGCACTTGATCAATCACCTTGTTTACATTTTCACCTTGTACGTTCGCATTTTTGGTAATCTTTTTCAGATTTTCTGCTGAACAATGACCCAGCTGCTTATGAAGTTTGGTAATGCTGCTGACTGTGTCATCTAGATTGACTAGATTACATTGCTCTTCTATAGCAACTTCATTATAATCCCATAGAGATATGCCAATCAGACCTGACTCGGTTGTTATAACAGGGATCACCTCTCCATCTACTTCAATCGTACTTGTACCAAGGTCTAATTTAAACCCTCGCTTTGCCATCTCTTCTTTGGAGATCAGAAATGGAATATTCCTTTGCACTATATCAGCCCAAAGGAATGTCTTCTTTCCGGCAATTATACAAGGTACTCTCACCGCATCTGCGGCAGCAATAGGGTCACTACCTCCAAAACTGTATTTTGAACGGGCGTCTGACACTTTCAGGAGTGCTTTGTCCTCTTCTGTCAGGTTATCTATGTACTCACGAATCCATTCTTCGCCAACTACATTCTTCGAGCAAGCAGAGTCTAAAAGTGCAACCTGATGGCATTCTGCTGTCTCCATCTCTGAAATCTCTCTACATTCATTAACATTTTCTGATCTATCTGAATGAGGACAATCTTTAATCAAATGCATTACTGATTCGCATCTATTGCATCTCAACCGGGGGTTAAACTTCTGAGTTGCCCTAGAGTCGTCAGCTGTCTTATATGTCTTAGAGTACTCTTTTTTGAAACTTCTAGAGTTATCTCTTCTTCGATCATTATCTGAATATCTCTTTGGCTTGTATTCTCCTTTGCCATTATCCCTTTTGTCACGATTAAATCTTGAGATGTGATTGTTGTATGATCTGTTATTATCTGTTCTTTTCCAAGCCTTTCCTCTATTTCTCCAGTTGGTGTAGTAGGCTTCCTCTTCTTCAGACATGTTATCAGGATCTGATGATGAACGTGTAGATTCCGACGATTCAGACAAAAATCTCTCACCATTGAATACTGGCTCTTCTTTGATGGGCGTATCACATTGTGGTCTCTTTTCAACCTCACGGATTCCTTCACCAAAGTATTTCTTTATTGAATTCATCATATCTTCAACAACAGACTCTGTTTTAACTAACTCTACTCCAGTCATTACCAGCTTTTTGTCATTTGCTGATAAACCGCATCTTTCTAGCATGTGTAATGCTAACACAGTTCCAGGAAGAGTTATCTTGCTAATTTTCAAGTTGGTGTTGGCTTGATCAAAGTTATTCAGAAAGCTTGACATATCTTGACTGTCCTTTCTCCTAAGATTGATAAAATCCGACCAGGATTTCATCATCTTACTGGTATCATCTTTCCTGTATGTTCTATCTAATAGCTTAATGATGTTTTGTACTCCTTCCCCGTCAAGAACATCGATGTCTTTGTTCTTTACTGCTGAGTTGAGCTTTGATACGACATTATGATCAGTGTGTTGAGATACTAGGTTGAACAAGGCATATCCTTGCTCTGCGGGGTCTACTTTTCTGACTGCACATAATTTGTCCCACATCTCAACTTGTAGTCTCCATTCCTCATAACTCATAGATGCTTTCCATTGCGGTGGGGCTGTAAGGCGGGCTGCTGGCTGTTGGTACTGCACTTGTATTGGCTCTGGTTGTACTGGTTGTACTGGTTGTACTGGTTGTACTGTGCCTTGACCATTTGATGATGTTGCTGTTTCAGGTGGTGGATTACTTTCTTTTTCATCTTCACTGTTTACCATGTTTTATTGGTTAGACGGTGCAATGATAGGCAGTAATTGTAGTGTAAAAACAGCCCCACCACTCCTATGGAGATAGATGGTTAGTCATCTTAATAAATAAATAAATGAATATAAATACAAATACAATCCAATAATAGAAATAGAAACACTGCAGCGATGTGGCCCTCGCAGCTCAGTGAGAATACTAACACATATTACTAACCCTGTATCTCACTTTAGCAAAGGTTTAGTTCCAGTGATTGTATATACAGTGTTGGGGTAAAGGGACTCCAGAAGGCAGACAAGGCTCGACTCCAGACTCTAGTTGAAGTAACAGAAGAGAGAGGAGTGTCCAGTGTTTAGTTGACTCCAGACTCTAGCGTAGCAGAAGGGAGAGGAGTGACGTTGTCGACTCCAGACTCTAGCGTAGCAGAAGGGAGAGGAGTGACGTTGTTTTAGTGATCCCACAGATTCCAGTCGACAGATACTATCTGTGTTCTGTGACGTGGAAAGAGTGGTAAGTAGTTTATAGTTATAGTTTAGTAGTTTAGTCTAGGAGTTCCCGCTTCCTCTTTCACTTTCATTTATAGTTTCACGTGGATTACCTTTCACTTTACTCACGGTAGTTTTCCCCCAGGGTTTTTGTTTTATAGTTATCAGTTCCAGTTTTACTTGAAGTCCTCATCATTCAGAAGTCCCTCATATAGTAAGAAGAACATCATCATCAGGAGTAGTAGTTTTAATTTAATAGTAGTTTAATCTAATAGTAAAAAAGACATTGTTTAGTTTAGTATTGAAATGTGTTTTAACTATTAGTCAGAGCAGAGTAGTGTGAGTTACTGAGTCACACCATATCAATCATTCACTATTTAAGAGAGTACATTGTAGAGTAACAAGGTTACTTTTGACACAAGATTTGTATAACCTCTTTATTCATCTAATTTGTATTTATAATAATTGAGTATTATTTGTTATTTAATTAACCCAAGAACAGGGTTCCAACACGGTTCTCAGCAGTACTGGGTTTCTTTTTAATCTCCCCTCGTTCTTTTAGGAGATTTTTAGTATCCCTTGAGAGATGTTCTGTTCTCTTTTTCCGGCCCCTTTCACCCAGCACTTCAAATGAAACATCAGTTATTATATCTCTCAGTTTCTTCCACTGTTCTTCTAAAGGAGAGTTTCCATGCTCCTGATCGTTGTTATAGTACTCTTCAGCTATTCTGTTACTATATTCCTGGCTCTTAGATCTATCACGCAGGTGCTCTAAAGCAGGCTGTCTTACACGCTTCTTTCTTTTCTGAGGACACTTAAGTTTAATAGATACATATCCTCTTACCAGATAGTGAGTAGTATTTATATCTGCTCCTCTCATGCTCCTGACATCAAGCAAAGAATGGCTCCATCTCGTCGAAATACACATATGGTCAATTTGAGTGACGCGGACGGTGTTACCATTTGGGGATCTCCATGTTGTCTTGTGGATATCTTTGTGTTCAAAGAGTGTGCCTCCGATCGTCAGCTGGTGCATAGTACAGAAATCTAGCATCCGTTTTCCGTTATCATTTGATTCTGTGTGATATGAGTGTTTTCCTATAACACCAGGGTGAGCATCAGTATCCCTTCCAACACGAGCATTAAAATCTCCTAAAACTATCTTTATATCATGTGCTGGTAGTCCCGATTGAACATCATTCAATTCCTTGTAGAATGAGTCTTTTAAACTGATCTCTGCATCCTCAGTTGGAGCATACACAACTGTAACACTAATGTTGATGTGTTTGCTATGTAAACGGGCAGTTATAACCCGTCCTGATACAGGGGTGTATGATATGAGAGTATTCTTCATCTTTTTGGAAAGAACAACACCAACTCCTTCTCTCCGTACTCCATCGCTCCTGCCAGAATAAACCAAAACAGCCCCATTGTCCAAAGTCTGAGTTCCTGATCCAGCCATATGTGTTTCAGTTACCCCAAGGAGCTCTAGTCCATAATCATCAAAACCTTTTCCTAATTGATACATCTTACTGGAATTACTGACAAGAGAAGTAACATTCCATGTACTGATACAGAGAGGATTCTTTACAATATTTACAGGATTAGACATACTTGACTGTCTGTTTACAAATGACAAATCTGATGAAGGAATTCTGTATTTACAGTGTTTACGTCGGCTCTTACGGGAGTTGCAAACAGACATCAAGCTACTAGGGTCCTTTCGGCTTTGCCTAGTCGCCGTCATCACTCCACCTGCGCCTCCACGTATAATACTATTGAATGACACTGTAGACGTTTCTGTAGCGGTTTGATTTAAGGTGGATGGTTTGCCGGACCTTCGCACCCGATCCAGAGGCAGCACCGACATCAAGAAGTAAGCGCTCCGTCCGGACACCAGCAAGCTGGTGGTTAGGTTCGATACGTAAAGTTAAAGCATGCAGAGCTTCTGAAGCCCATAGGGAATCAAAATTAAACCGTAAGTGATCATGTCAGAGACAAGATCACCAAGCAAATGCTCGATTACACAGGGCAACCAAGACTTGGACAAAATGGTGAACCGTGAGTGACACACAGATGACCCTGCCACAAGACAGCATCACCGAGCACCACCCAGCAATCGCATCCTCTCGCCGCCACAGCAACCAACCCCCCAGTGATATAGCACTGACAGGCAATTAACGGTTTTGTGGTGTTACCACTCCCAGGTGATCTGTGCTAACAGACTCGGACCAGATGCAATGGGGAGCATATAAAAAACATAGTATGAAAATATGGTGCAATTTTTCCAGTCACACTTTTCACTCAAAAGAATTAATGGTACAAATACATCGTAGGGAAAATTGATCGTGCGTGGTTTAACCACGGCGAAATTCTTGTTGGCATTGAGCACATGGTAAAAAAATCATTGAGTAGTAAAAAAAATCAATCCGCCTCCGTCTCATGATTGATTTTTATGGCCTGATAATGAATATTTTTTTAAAAAGTGTCTTTCGTATATCCAAAATGTGTTTCTTTATCACCAAAGTGTTTCTGTTGCCATACTGTCATTTTATTGTCATTCCTTTGTTAATCCATTATAGCTAGGCTGTCTGTAAATAGGACAATTGATGACATTCTTTTGTGGTCCAATATTTGAGGACAGTTGCCAGTCTAAGTAGAACAAATTTTCCTTTCTGAACCAACATAAGTTGTAAGCCGAACAAATAATTTGAGGACAACATGACACTACAAAACTTTTAACATAACACAAGGAAATATGGACAGAACTGAACAAAATCAAAAACCACATTCAAAGATTGAGGAATCAGGAGGACTCTGCAACCCAGGAATCAACTAATTAGCTATCATGGCTCAATAATCGGTTTGGTATCGACGTTAACTACTTTGATGTTCCGACTTTAAAGCTGACTAAAGAAACCAGGGAATTAATTTTACTTTCTTTCTAAAATTAAATTGATTTCATCACCATTATAAAAAAACATTCCAGTACATTGTGCAGAAAGTTGGAAATTTAAATTTGGAAGTATGTAAGGATCAAGATCTGATATCAATCGTGAATACTAAAAATAATATAGCACAATTGTAACTGCAGTTTTACAGAACCCTAAATGCTTAATGAATGCATTTGCAGGTACTAATTGCATACCACCTGTACTCACACTCAGAATTGGGCTTTATAGTAATTTTCCAATACGAGATTGGGGACAGGTTCTGTAAACAAACAAACATCCCTTGTAACTCTTCTTCTCAGGGATCAGGTTGAAATGAAACAATCCTTACAGAGAAACAAATTTTTTAGAGAAACAAATTTGAATTTAGATCTTTATTACAGATTAAACATATCATATATAACCATAAAAGCCGCGCGTCGGCTGATTGTCTCAACTTGTATTAGTAGTAACTCCCACTATTCCCCCCCCCCTATTTTTACAAATTCAATATCTTACTTTTCGGAGACAATTATTAGGCTTATATTTCTAAATAAAATGCTAGCCTTGTCACTTGTTAAAACCTCAAAATATCACCAAGGAACTGTTTTCCCTTCTTCATTCTTTAAGCCCCGGAATTAATAGTCTGAAACTCAATTAAGTCGCAGCGCAGATTTTACAACCCTACTTCTCGTGAAGCTTATATAAAACATTAATGTTATACAAGAATATTCAAACAATATACACATAGTATAGCAATCATGACCCTAAATAAAAATTCAATATAAAAATTCCGTAAAAATCTTAGTTAATTTAATAAAAAACATTAATATTATTGATTAAGATTATCCATAATAACTGATACTATTTTAAATCCATTTTTAACAAATCTACGTTTAACAATATATTTTTTTCAAATATTAGACTACTCATAAAATATTTGTTTAGATACTCGTAAAATATTTGTTTTAAACCGCGTCGACGAGTCCAACTCGGCGCGCGTCCTTGTAGCGCTATGCACTACTGGGCCGCGCCGCGCATCTTCTCGCACCCATGCAGATCGGTGAGATGCGAAGGATCGACATCGTGAATCAACACGCGTCCTGCTTGATTCACGATGTCAATCCTTCGCAGCTCGGTGAGGCACAGTGGTGCATCTCGCCGATCTACCGAAGATCGTGGTAGCGAGAAGAATTATTTGATGCGCGGCGCGACCCAGTAGTGCATTGCGCTACAAGCGTCCTGGTATACATGGTAATTGGTTGTCATACGTTGTATGACCCGCCGCGCACGAGTGTGCGGCTCCCCATGTATCGTCGAAACTTTACACTCTACAGGCGTGAAGCGACAGTGGGGGTCACAACTTGACGGATGTTACTCGTCTAAATTTCTTCGAAGTAGCGCGCGCACATCCAATTTGATACGTATGAAATATGTTTATAACTTCCTTGGTTGTGCACTAAGTTGGCGTTCCTTGACCAAAATTGAAAGTGATTTTAAACGATTCCCCGCGGGGAATCGTTTAAACATTAAAATAACTTTCGAGGCACCTGCACCTCGACAGAAACTTCTCACGCTATTGTGCTTTTTATGGAGAAATGCGTCAGTAGCGTTTTTGAGCTTGTTATTCTCTGTCAAAAGTATTACAAGTGATTTGCAAAGGTGCATATATTGACTCAGAATACATTGCAAAATAATTTTCCTCGATTCATGAAGTTTGAAAGAAGTTACAGCAATGCGCGCAATTTGGGGAGTGTGCTTTTGGCGGAGATATAAACTGCGCCTTAGTAATATAAAGAGCCCATGATTATACACATATCTTGAACTAGATATTGATATATTTCGTGAAAAATTTCAGCTCGATATGACAATAAATGATTGACTTATACATTATAGCCGCTCGATAAAACGAACAACCTAATTTTTGGTGCGGAAACGGTGCGCTAGATGGTCACTGAACTTCCTGAGGTCATTTGGGCTGGACATTTTTGGCGTATGCCCCCTTAAATATCATCGTGTGCCAATTACATATCTCGTGAATTTGAAGTGGCACAGGGGGCAAAATAAAACTTCACGTTTCGATTTGTAACATAATAATATGTATCCTCAATATTAAAATTAACAAAATTCTCTTTTCAGATAACTAAAAATACTATTCTAGAATGAAGGAATGATTCGCTCGAGTAATTTAAGTGTCCTCTATTAGAAATGTTGCCTGTTAACGTTCTGCCAGTTGCTACGTTTCTAGCCAGTTCACATTCGGTTCTTCAAAAACTATACTCCAAAAACTCAGCTTCTGAGAGATTACACTGACTCGTGTGTCATATGCTGACCACCGATGCAAACAGACTGTAAAAATGCTATGTACAACAATTGATGACGATAAAATCTATGATCTGACTGTAGCGTTGGTGCAACCACATTGGTCGAAAGTACAAAATCGATTCTTAAGTTCCATGGGTTTCTTTTTTATTTAAACCAAACAGATAACCGGATATCGACCAATGTGTACACCAAGTTCGAAAGCTTTATAAAAACTCTCAAGGGCATAAAGTTGAATTCCTGGTATCAGCTTTATCAATAACAAGACATTATTATAGTTACACGGCAGCTAAAAGGACCAATTTTGTCACTGACATAGCTTAACTAAAATCTGGGGTACAAACTGCAATTTTTAACTAGAGAAAATGGATTATATCAAAGTAAGTATAAAATGTATCATAACACCCTAGAATTATGATATGATTGCATAAGAAAAAGTCTAAATATTCAATTTAAGAAGAAAACTTAACTATTATTATTATTAGGGAACATCAAATTACTGTATTTACTAATTACTACCGACTGCTATACACAAACGATTTTTAGACAAATATTAGGGACTTACTGCTTAAGTAAAATTACTCCAAAACACTGTTCAATTCTATAATCCGGGATTTGCATTGCGTCAGCAGTGCCATATCGATTTAATATACTCAAATAATTAATTATTAATTATTATATATGCAATACAATGATATGCGAGCTTCAATAGTTATATAAACAATTTACATTTGGACAAACCGTCATCTAAACATAGGAAAATAATAAATTATTGAACAAATTATAATTATCGAGAGATGGAGTGACAATCCTTAGCATTTCTGGGCTTATCAGTTATCATAGTTCTTCAAATAATTGGGACTGGTGTTTGAGAATAGAAGGAAAAAGTTCGGTTGCCATGGAAGTGGCGCGATGGTTTCCATAGCGACGCGTAGTTTCATGTGGCACTTTGTTCGCCGTATCCGACCATGTAAGAAAATTGACGAGGAGAAGCGACACAGTGTTTGATAGGAGAAGTAGAGGGAGGGGTCGGAGAGGGGTCCAGCTCTATTACCTCGTATCGTCCTAAAACAAATCAAGTCAATAAAATAGCAGGTATTATATTACCAGGTTTACAATGAATTCCTTTGTAGTGTAGGAGTAGTCATGTTGCATTACAATAATGAGTGGATATTGTGTAGGAAATCCAATAGCAAACACACGGGCCCGTGAGGTGCTCTATTTTCAGTTTAAAGCGGTACGACGATAACAGTTACATTGGTATTGTGTTAAGGTGAGGGTGTAACGAATTAGATGAGCTGGTTGGGGGATAAGGCCTGGGGAGAGTGGCTGGTAAATTAGTGAGGCCCCCGGCGCCGGTCCCCCAAGAGAGTTATATATAATATATATTACTGGGTTTAAACGTTTAACAAGAAAATAAACAAGTAGTTGGAATAGTAAGTAAGTTCAATCTACTTCCCCCAAGTCCCCAAATAAAAAATCTCAGATTGCATCTACCTCGTTTGCTGGAGAATGTAGATGTGGAAGGAGAGGGTTGTTCGAAATTTCCATTAACTGTTGTGGTATTCTGCAACGTGTAAATGATTATTTGTGATAATTTTATTTAGTTTCAGATAATTAATAGCTGCTGTCACAGATGTTTATCTAAACTGTTAATTATGAAGTGAAGAGTAAAGACCATACAACCTGATGTTAATTTAAATTGTTAATTGTAAAGTAAAGATCATATAACCTAATGTTCATTTAAATTGTTAATTGTAAAGTAAAGACCTGAAACCTGATGTTCATTCAAACTGTTAATTGTAAAGTAAAGACCATATGTTCATTGTTCATTTAAAATGTTAATTGTAAAGTAAAGACCTAAAACCTGATGTTCATTCAAACTGTTAATTGTAAAGTAAAGACCATATGTTCATTTAAAATGTTAATTGTAAAGTAAAGACCATAAAACCTGATATTCATTTAAACTGTTAATTGTAAAGTAAAGACCATATGTTCATTGTTCATTTAAAATGTTAATTGTATAGTAAAGACCATAAAACCTGATATTCATTTAAACTGTTAATTGTAAAGTAAAGACCATATGTTCATTGTTCATTTAAACTGTTAATTGTAAAGTAAAGACCATAAAACCTGATATTCATTTAAACTGTTAATTGCAAAATAAAGACCATAGAACCTGATCTTCACTTAAACTGTAATCATCATTACCACCCAACGTTAAAAGACGAGCTGATAGAATAATAATTCCAATCAAATAGAGATTAAAGATTCCACCCGAACATTTAAAGGCAAACCTTAGGAGTAGAGGCCTGAGAAGGGGACTTGGTAATTTTCCGTTTATTTTTCCTCCCGGAAGAAGTTCCTGTCCTCATCAGTCTCATCCTCTCTTCCTCCTTCGCTCGACGTCCCTCCTCGGGGTCATCGAACTCAAACACCGCCATCGCACTGTTAGACTTGATCTGGTTGGTGTCGACTTTCAATTTTGGGATGTTGGGCTTGTTAGCCCCGGGTGGAGCAAACAGTTTGTTGGAAAGTTTACCGGGATCTGCATAGTCAGTCCATGATAACGAGTCGGAAAAGAAGTCGTCGGAGAAGGACTTGTCGAGAATATCCGGATCGAAGATGTCGAGGAGCTTGTCGACACCAGGGGACGTTTGTCGGGAGGAAGAGAAACTGTCAGAGTATTCGTCCAACCGCTGGCTACGAGTCCCTTGAGAATCAGTCTGGTAGTCTGCCAAAAAAATAGGTGTTTAAAAATGTATTTACAATATGACCAAAATACTTTGGAGCTTTGGGTCGGCATCCGACTGATGTATCATGCATGTAAAGTATTAAGTATCATGCCCGTCAAGGAAGTATAATGTTCGTGATTCGAATACTTAAAACTATAATATGCGTTTTTTGTTACAAATAATTCATGACAAATTAAATTTAAAAAGATAATCGAATATCCTACCGGTGGAGGTGACAATAGCTTCGCTCACTGAAGCGTCTTGTGATTTTATTTCGCTGAAAACATAAAGTTTAGCGCTGAACACTGACCAGCTGATATATTTAGCACCAAGTACACGATGAATAAGTTTTAAAACTTATTCAAAAATATGTTTTTATATAAATTTATCTCGTTTTACCTCACAAAATGATACTGCCACTTAATAGACTGATTAATATGCGCATGCAACATTTTATGGATGTGGCGAAAGTACATTTCGTTGTGACGAAAGTGCATTTCATTAAAATTATATCAAAAGTAGCAACGTTTCCTGAACAAGTCATCCAGTAGTAGTTAAAATTACCAGCGCATGCACTTAGGAGGAGTCTTAGTACCAATAATAGCAAATGACAGAAATATTCACACTTTTATAACTGTCACACTTTAGTTATATACCGACTTAAGACTCAACCCAAAACAGCACGTGGACTCAAAGAAATTCTTCAGACTGCAGTCTTATTGCATCTTGATTATATATATCTCAAATATTTACTGTATGAAATCACATACAAAGGCTTTTCGCACGGCATTATATTATTAAGAAACAATCCACTACAAGCCAATATAACACAGTATTATATGCTAACCAAGTACACTCATAGGTCTGCGGAGACGGCAGTATGTTATTAAGAGCAGCCCTCAAGTTATCCGAACATCTCGTGAACACCATCTGACCTGATCCCATACTCCTTCCACCGTAATGTGACGTCTGAAATCAGAACACATGTTAGCAAAAAGTTCGGCTCATCACATTGTACTTGCTTCTCTTACATAGTACACAGGACTAAGTACACATATAAACAAAATTTAATCTTTACATAATTACATCTCTTTCTTTTGCTTTCAACAGAAAGGCTTCTATTTATCACGAAGCGGAATATGATGATTATAATATAATAATAACTAACCCCAAGAGGCCTAGGTCGTTGGTGTTGGTACATCAAACCGTTCCGATGTTCTGCAAAGACTATAAGTTATTCTACACAATACGCATTCTTTGTCGGTATTTAAATTGTAAACAATGATATTGATATCAGGCTTAACTGTGACATTGACGGGTGATAGTATATGAGGTAATAAGTAAGCGGAAGCAAATGATGCAAGATTAAATTATTAGAAATCAAACCTCTCGTCACATCCTCCCTGCAAAGAACATGTTTATCAATATATTGCTTATAATGAAACTTCATCGAAGAGTTCATAAAGCCTTTGTTTTATTAGCTGTGAGTTAGCACTACATTAACTGATTTTAAAATATCACGTACAAAAATTGGTTATAGCCTATAGTCAGTCAGTTTAACACGCATCAGTTTAACATCGGTTAGATACCGAAATAATAAGTTGTTTGTATCAGTTTACGCAACAGGAAGTTGCCAGCTCCAGTTTATTTACGAAAACAGCGCTGTAGTGCAGTAACTGTGTACTTACGGTATTCGTTGAAGGAACGCATTTTTGTTGACCGTCGGAAGCTGTTTCAGCAAACTTTTGAAGTTAAACACACCCGGTTTCAACTTGAACTCCTCCTTAGGTTCGACATTTTTGAGATCTGAAAAAACCGGAAATGGGTTAGAGAAACTTTTCGGCCCTGGCTTAAATGCATTTTAATCGACTATCGCTTGCTTGAGAAGCAAAACAAGCAGTATACCTAATTCTACAGGACTATAATAAGATAATACGTGCGCTATTTTTGCGCTGGAGCACACCCAATGCCTTCAACTTTTTATGAATCTGTGTACTTGGCGCGTTACGCAAACCAAACATAAACAGTGACAAAGGGTGCCAAAATGGAATCAGAAACACTTAAGAGCATGAAACTCAAAGTAAAGGGTACTAGCGAATAATAAAACGACAACCAGTCACTCCCTTCACATAATTAACAGTCAAAACGACAAAAATTAAGCTAAAATCACGTATCTACGCAGAAATATCTAGAAATTAATAAGTAAAGATATGACCTAATAAAATGATTACAGACAGTAACATAGGCAGACTCACCCGTGCTGATTTCTCTTTTGGTGACCTTCTTTTGAGGCTTAGTCAGGCGAGGTGGGGATGGGTAGAGCGAGGGTGGAGATGGCGGCGGAGATGCGACATGAGACATAGCGTTCAATATTATAGTATCACTCTCCTTGTCATCCACTGACATTTTCTGGTGTCGATTTCTGACCTGATTTTTCCTATCTCTACCCTTTTTCAGGTTCTTTTTCGTCGATTTGTTGCCAGATGAGGAGACATTTAGGGAAATTTTATTCTTAGGTTTGGTTTTGACAAAACCTTCCTCTTCTCGGATGAGCTGCTCTATTCGGTTGTTGGGTGGTAGGGGGTGTTTGAATTTCTGGGGGTGTGGTTTGGGGGGAGTACTGTGTCGTGTGGTGTTAATCACTGAACTACTGTTACTACTGCTGCTGCTGCTGCCTTGCGTTTGAACCGGTCCTGTAGTATAACCACGGGTTAAATTAACATTGATTATTTTAAAATAGACTTTGACAAGCGAAGCCCCATGTCTAATTCCTTCCAAAGTGAAAAGGGAAAGTGAATTTCAATTTCATTAAACGCGATTTTGAGCAATTTGGTAACATCGAACCATTCAATATAATAGAAGTAATGGTTATATGAAAAGTCGTTATAAAGTTCGATACTAAGCAGTACTTGAAGATGGGCTTGCAATACAATTTGCAATGTACAATTTCCTAATATAGATTTAACAGACATTTACGTAAGAGTGAAGTGTTGAGTGAATTATTAATCAAACGACCTTCAACCCACCTGTTCATTGAAACACCGATTAATGTTCGTAGTAATAATTTGTATTCGGAAATTAATTTAAGAAGAGGTAATTGCGCAGATTATGCAAATTATTTAAATTAGATATTCAGAATAATTAATTGCGAAGACAAACCTGGATGAACTTTTCTGATGTGATGCGCAAGGAATGCAGGCTTGAGCAGAGCTCCGCATTCATGGCATGAAACAACCAGTAGGTTGGATACTGAACCAGATCCAAACAGAAACAGATCTAATTGTCATAGTTAAGGAATGTTAATCGAAATATTTTGGAATTTTATGGTATATGATCAAAGGAATGCTCACAATCCACATGTTCAGTAAAATCATGCATACTCGTAGATATTTCCTTTTTTCTTCACGATAACAGGAAAATAAGCGACAGATTACCGATAATCGGTGTTGTAATTGAGTCATTATGTAATTAAGTAATTAAGTATAATTTTGAACGGCCGATTAAGTGGTTAGTGTAACTGCCTAAATTTCACTGTCATATCAAACGTGAGAGATGGATTACAGGCCAACTGGCCAAGAAAGCCAAATTAATTAGATAACATTTCTGTAGAGTCGGGAATGTTATGCAAAACATTTTTATTACACATAATTACTCGTTAAACGGTTAAAAACTAAAGCTGCATGTGTGACCTCGAATGATCATAATATTGTGGAAACGGTTAGTAATCTTTCAGTTAGTCATTGGCGGATTTATCACACCTGCAATGTCATATTTACAGTAGGGCTCTTTTGTAACGTAACGCGATATATTCCATTAACATTTTAACAATCCCTGTATGCAGTACGAATTATGCATTTTTGATGATTCTTCGTGATACAGAGCGTATTCAATAACCCGACAACATATCTTTTGTATGAAACACAGATAGCAGCCAAAGGTGTATCAATTTCACATTCTTTTCATCGCTTAAAACAGCACTTTTAGATTGCGCTAAGTAAGCGCAATGCCAGGGCATTAGTATTTAGTGGAGGTTTTAGCCATCATCCGTTTATAATTGTTATACCGCACAATTTTTATTGATAATTGACTAGTGACTACTTTGTGCTCAACTTCATACCAATAATATCTCAGTCACCTCTACAGTGACAATTATAGCATCCCCACATTTGTAACTGTTTTCTAACTAAAGATAGCATTTGTTATAACTGATTTCTATCTTTATATAATATATATCTCATCTTGTTAACCCTGCTAGAACAGTCTCGGAGACACGTGGCTGTGCTGATCGGTGTTGAATACAAATGACATCACGACTCAAAAATTTGATTGGTCGTTGTTGCAAGCGAGAAAAAAGATCATTTTATCCCCCTACATTTCATCCCCGCCAATTTGAATTAGGTTATAGAGTTAGGCCTAAGGGTCAGGGTCTGTATTCATATTTGGGTTAGGGATAGGGTAAGGTTTAAGTTTAGAAGTGATGCTACCTTTGAGTTTCAGAATCGGAAGATCAGAGGTCAGGAGATGAAATGCAGTGAATCACTGTAAGGTGTTAGTTAACCGGCTAGTCACTGTCATAATGTCTAGTATTCAATTCAATAAATTCATTTTTGTATAAATCTAATAATCTATCTTATACCAAATTGGATTAAATAATTTACATTTTGAGATGCAGAGCACGCCCATGAAGAAAATAGCAGCATGAATATATTATTTGTTTTTTATAGAGGATGCATTATGTAGCACTACGAGTAATTACATATATGTCACAGGGCCAAAATAGTTTATGTAGTATGTGCTGGAAAACAGTTAGGACTAAAAACGTAATGAGTTTGTAGCGCAGTTCAGTGAAGAATGCCAGCTTTACTGCGTCAAGAGAGGGACAAGCGTTCAGAAAAGGCTAATAACAATTACGCTAATGATAATTGATAGTTATACTAATATAAGCTAACTCGGTTATGGCCCGATGCACGGTCATATTCTCAAAAGTGATGATAGACTTGTAATTATGCAGTAGTTGATATTCTGAAATAAAACTTGGATATTTTTTGCTTTACTATGTAACTGAATTATTTCACTGTCAAAGAGGGTTTATCTATAATTATCAAGTATAAAAATACTGCCTGCTATCAACGAATTGTCATATATATGCCACAAGTTTTTAATATTTGTATATTGATTACTTTTTAACCAGTTTATGGAAAAATATCTTTGATTGCAGTAAAAGGATACCATTCTTCTTGAGATGGGAGGCAGCCGAAGGTAGCTCATTCGGAACGCTGTCCTTATCTGGTCCACCTGCAATAATTTAACTTTTACAAATAAATTATGAAATAATAATAAACACCAAATTGTAAAATAGTAATAACAGAATAAGTTGTAGAATAATATAATAGAATATAATAGAATATAATAGAATATAATAGAATATAATAGAATATAATAGAATATAATAGAATATAATAGAATATAATATAATAGAATAGAATAGAATAGAATATAATAGAATATAATAGAATATAATAGAATATAATAGAATATAATAGAATATAATAGAATATAATAGAATATAATAGAATATAATAGAATATTATAGAACAGAATATAATATAATATAATATAATAGAATATAATAGAATAGTAATATTATAATAGAATAAGTTGTAGGTTTTATGTACAGTAAACACAGATGAAAAATGTAGACTGTAATTCTTAGCGTCATCGATGACTATTATTAGCGAGGGATTTAATCCTATTTTTAATTAACATTGAGTTTGAATACGGTTTTCTGTGATTAACGCATTGATGTACACTATATTATCTAACATTGAATAGCAGTTCCTGAAGTTCAAGATTGACTCAATGTTTAAACTTAAATTTGATTAGGAGAATGGAGATATAAATAGATCTACCAATAACCAACCTAAAAAGTACCTATCTTCAGCATTTATCAACTTATTGACTAATAGCGCTACAAAATATCACAGTGCAATATATTTTAAAATGCTCTTGACGCAATCATCTGTATCAAATTATGAATTTAAGGCAATGCTTTTTGGCTCTCTTTTGTCAGCGTAATGTTATATAGTTGAGATAATGAGTATCAACGTCAGATCTGCATCATGGTGTTTAACTATCTAGGCAAAATACAGAACTATTCTTGGAATTTTGTCAGATCTTCAGATTAGCTACTATTTTACAGCGAATTTGCTTTAAGGTGGTCAAAATTATGACCTTGTTCATCAGAAGCTTTAATGTATAAAGCTTTAGCGATTAAAATGTTGGTGACGTGAAAGGTCCTTAAAAGGATGTGGATTATGAAAACGATGAATAAAACTCCAGCTTTTTGTCACTAGAAAAATTAATGCACGTATATAGCATGTTTTACCTTCAAAACTCTTAAATTTCGGTCATATTATGATTCATAATTTATATGAGTATGGGCACTATTCATTTGTGCTGGCGATTGCAGGATTACATAATCTGTCAATTCCCTCTTTTTGCACAATGAATGCATTAATAACAAAATTTTATAGCATAACTAGTGACAAATCGACTAGTACCTCCTAATTTCAGAGAAGTTCAATAAAAGTCCACGGTAGAATCACTGCATAACCTGGCAAATTGTGCAGCAACTTGCTGCATAATTCGTATTTTAAGATAGTTGCTGCATTGCATAATTTGTCAAAAGATCTCACAACTAAATGGCAATTCTGAACTTACGAAACAAAAATGTACATACAGCAAGAGATGACAGATCATCACGTTTTTGGAAAAGAGGTCGGGTCAAATCGGAATAAAAGAAGCTTACAAGGTAAAACTCCATTGCAATACAAAACAATCAATATGTAACTCTTACTCTTGTTATAATTTGCAAATTATTATTATATCATATATCATATATCATTAATAAATCTATTGTGTAAATCAACTATATCATTAATACTAATTATAATGATACAACGATTTTATCATTCAGTACTCTGATTATGTAACATAGTTTTAAAATGTTCGAACTGGAATAAAAAACAAATTTGATAAAAATGCACATACCTCTCCCAAGCTCTTTGCGTAGATTAGCCTCAAATTGGGCCCAGGAGCTGCTCATTTTATCATTTCAACATTACATTTCCATGCCAACCTCCTTAACTAGGAAACAATTTGGTTAGTATACTGTTTATAAAAGAAACCAGGCTCTATAGCTACAAGATACCTTTGACCCTCTTCAGGGGCCCAAAAATGTATATTATTGTACTATGCAATCAATGATGTAGCTCATATTCCTGCCAACATGAAACTGTGTAACTACTCTTACACCGGGAAGTACCCTCAGTTTGGGTGGAATGCATGCAACATCAAGCACATCACGACTGTCAGCTCTGTTACCAGGAACTCACAAGGGGTACAACTGCAACTGGAGAGATGACCACGTCCTGAGAGTTATCGCAGGAGCAAGTCGGGCAGATCACCCCCAAAGAGAACAGTGGATGGGGTAAGTGTAAACTTATCCAATACTAGAAGCCTGGAAAGAAGATGAAGATGAAAAAGGACATCTTTAGTGATGTGAAAGATTGGAGAATACTGTTGGACAAAGATAATGACCCTTCCCAATTCCCTCAGCATACCTACAAAACTGCAGAGAGGCTGGATAATGAAGTTTGGTCAGATAGCACCAATCATGTTTTCTGATTGAACTGAGGTGTGGTGATGAGAGTAACTTCAGTGATCAAGTGGAAAGGAAAGAAAATCGATAAAACAGAGAGCTAGTTCCAGGATCATCAGCAGTGACTGGAGGGTGAAGCTCTTTAAACGACCAAGTTCGCATAAATGTCTATCCAACCAAGAATTCAGGAGGCAAGGGTGGGTACGTAAACTTCACGTTCTGCACTCTGTGATCCTATATCACCCTGGATTCTTTTTGACGTATTTTTGTAAAAGGTATATACCTTCTAGGCACTCTCTTGCTACTCCAAGTCGCCTAAGATATCTCGTCTAAAGGTTGTGCTGTTATATATAAAATATATTTTTGTTTGCTTTAATTGAAAATAAATAAAATTGTTGTTTTGTTGAAATTGTTGTTTTCTTTACAGTAGAGATTGGTTGCAAATTATTCCTGTCCTTTTTAACTACTTTGGTGTGTAGAAAAAACAAAGAATAAAGTATTAGCTTAAAGGATGAGGGGACCTTAGAAAAAGTTTTTTTCTCGTGCAAATCCTTTTATTACATTAATCGTATAAACCACTTTAGTGAAATCCGCAAAGTTGTATTTCATTCGCGCGCCGAGATATCCAGCCAAAACAATTTGAACCTGTGACGTCAATTATGTGAGTTGCTCTGATCCGCGCATATAGAAATACAGGTAAAATGAGCGTGCGGGCCGACTAAATTAATAATTAAGAATACATTAACAATTTACGATACTAACGAGCCTATAACCAATGGAGAGGAGACTTTTTATGACCGGTTGAAAAAAGAATTATCACCCTACGATAACCATGAGCCGAGATACACCTGAAATAAGATTGAAGTCACACAGAAAGGCATGTAAATTATGTATATTTATAGCTCCCAACGTAACACCTAGCAACTCCCTGTATCGTACCACAGTTGATATATCAATATGTCATATCAACACAACACGGTCCTAATAAAAATGGATCGGGTAGGTATGAAATGCATGTCTTCATTCCAGTTGGACAAGCAACAAGCACCAAGCTTTTAAGTTCTAACTCACTATGTGACACTACTTATAACGTAAGCAAGATTTGCAACTATCACACCAAGCAATATTATACCAAGCATAGCAGACGAACACATCCACATTCGTTACGCTTTACACTCAAGTCACAGCAAACTAAAACGGTAAATTATAAATGAGTGTACAACTAAAGGCCGGTACACGCCGCATTGTCAAACCGCACGTGCGCACTCAGATAGGACTAGAGGCGCCAAGGGCCAGCTAGTAAAATGTCTTCTACTACATCATACATTCAACCGATTTTTAGATCTGTATTCTTGTATGAACTTGAAGAAATATGCCGATTTTTAATTGTGTCCATATCGGGTTTCAAACAAGTCAAAACAAAATAGCAGTTTGTGGTTTAGTTAGCGGATGCTACTTATCTTAGCTATTTATAAATAGAAATACCTACTACAACTACAAGAAAGCCTTTCTGAGTTACATTTAACTATTAAGGAGAATTATTCGTAACTTAGATCTTGACTAGTTCAGTGCAAACAAAGATACCGCTCTCGCAAACGCCAAAGGTAACACGACGTAATTGAAACAGCACAGAAGAAAATGCTGACACAAGCGAAGGGTGCGCGCGCACGTTGGTCTTAACACATAAGTGACGTCACAGCCCAAAATTGCTATCAGCCAATAGGAGCGCGGCGTGATATTGCACGAATTATCGATTTCACAGTCCGGCGTATTTTTTGATTCTACACACTTTCACAGGACTTAAACGCGAATATTTGGAAGTAAATTCTAAGGTCCCCTCATCCTTTAAAATAGAAAAGAAATTCCTTTCCAGACTAAAGACCTTCGCCCGGGAAGTTCTTGTTCCATGTTAATGCCAGCTAAACAAAATGAGGCAAAAAGTTTTCAGGTTAAGGCTAAGGCGAAGAGGACAGCGAGCCACTTCCTAATGGGGAAATCCTTTTAGATATGAAGCTACAATAAACCATCCCAAAATTCTTTCAGATTATTATGAACAATTGTAACTGTTTTCCTCCAAACCCAGTGAAGCTTCCTCTGTTTCAAGATTGGGTGTTAGGAACAGAGATGACATGTCATTTACACTACTTGTATTTCTAATTTGGACTCTCTTTACTCTAGTTTTGAATGCTTTAAATGGCATACAATTTAAATTTTTGCTTGATTGATTTGTTGTGAGAACATTGTCTGATTTTGTTACTTCGCAGGATTCTGATGGCTGTGTGGGGAGTCAAGGAAAACAAATTTTAGAGAAAAGAAAAGTATGTTGGTTTTATTAGTATTGAAAGTGGAGAAAGGATTTACAACCTCCTACTCAGACGGTCATGTTATCAACATTTAAGTGCAGATTTAAAATCAAATAGTTGGTGTTTACAGTTTACTAAGTGGGTACTGCACTGGGTACCCTTACAAGATACTACTTCTTTGGGCAATGGGCAGGGACTTTCAATTCCTCATTAAACTCTCAATCAAAGATTTCCTGAACCTTTGGCCGGGTCGACTGCAGGAGATTGCATAGATTACTTTACTTTATCTATTATATCTCCTTTGTGTTGATAGTATTTCCCACAACGTCCTTTTATTTGGTGGAATTAAGAATGGTTCGAAAAGATCTACCCATCATCATATTATCTGATTTCCGAATAAGTCAATTAGTGCCAGGGTGAGTCTGTTGGTTATTAATGCTCAGTGTCTGGTTCAGATCTTGAAGAACTTTTGATATGACTCATGTTAGGTGGCCTAGTGGTTAGAGCTTCCGCCTTTTGCACAGATGGTCCAGGGACCGAATCCAAGTCTCGTCTGGGGAGTATAAGTAGCTGTTTGTTTGGGGACCGGTTTTTGGTACATCGGCCAATGTTTACAAAATCATATGATACATAACAATATAATTTTATTTAATATACATGAATATGAGAATTGAAAATTAAGATGTAACCTTTTATATTTATTCATTTTTTTAAAAACCAACATTTTAAAAATTAGTTTAGCTAACGATCCATTGGATCTATGCGAAATTTCACATCTGTGAAATGTCTCTTTGCTCCTCGGTTGACTTAGCCGATCAATGATCAGAAACTTTATTAAGGGTTAACCGAGGAGGGACCCTACCAGGAGATCAAAAATTTGATTTTCTGTTTTATTTTGAAACTAGGATGCCCCTTCAGTACATCTCAATTGTAGTGAATATATTAATATGCCATGTTATTAAGCAGATATTTCAATCGAACTTAATAATAACAAACACAAATACTTTTTTTTATTGCCATTACAATGAATAATTTGAAAACTGGCCACGGGCCTAAATATTACATATCAAACAATTACAATTCATTAACATTACCAATATTAGAGTTATGCCTCAAGGTCACATAACCCCCAAGTTTACACGTGAGGGCATGGTTTGCGGAGTAGGAATCACCACCAGTACAAAGTTTTAGACAATCTTTCAGCTTCAGGTTATATCTTAAAGCTATAGCATCTGAAAACTGTTGCTTATTCAGGAGATAACCATAGCTTTTGAGTGGTAAGGTGGTTAGCCAGGAACTTGCACCCTTCTCTGCTGCTAGCTGTAACATAAGTTTAGATGTTTGTGGCAGAGACTCCTGAATTGCCTCCTGTCTTCTGGTGTAATACTCATTGCGATCTTTACTGATGGATGTCTTGATTTCATGACTTTTATCCTTGTCTTCAAGATAGTTTACCTCTTGGCTTAGTATAGCCGTTTTAAGCAAAACTGTAGCTTTGACTGAATACAGGAACTCTGAGTTGGCCAGTTCTGTTATTATAGGGATACCCAGCCCTCCATACCTTGGTGGTAGAGAAAAGATCTCTCTAAGAGTGTCAGTGCAACTAAATGCTCTATCAAGGATTGCTGGAATGAACTCCTCTCTGATGGTAAGTTCGAGTGATACTAGACACTTAACTTTTTAACGGTATTATATTATATATTATGTATGTAAATTAAAACTTTTAATTAATAAAGTAATTAAAACTTTTACATCCTAAAATGCAATATTCAATAGTATGTACTAACTGATTTGTTGTGAAAATCCTGAATCAATTTATACGTTTGTGCTCAGCTAGCTGATATCAGGCTTGGTGTGGTGCTTTAGAAGCGGTATTTCGGGTACTAGTAAAGCTCTTACAGGCAACTGGTTCCTTTTGTTGCAGGTTTACAACCTACCAGGACGCGCGCCGAGTTGGACTCGTCGACGGTCCAATATATGGAACAGATATTGTACGAGTATCACACGTTAATCCTTTTGCCAACCGTTTTTAGTCCAAGTACTGTCCCATTTCTGATCTCAGAACAGGTGCAACTAAAATTTTCTTATGCCAACGTGGAATTATTTGTATCACGTCATGACCCCCCTGTACAAACAAAAGTATCGATTTGCGCATTGATCTAACCAGAGCCCTGTCGCTTGCAGT